CCCCAAAACCCCAAAACCCCAAAACCCCAAAACCCCGGACTCTAGATTCTTAAATAGGATAGAGAATTCCAGAATTTTATCAAAATAAATAAACAAATAGCTACCTTCTATCTATTCAATCTAGGATCCTATAAAATAGAATTCTTCCATATGGTCTGCTGAATTGTATGTACTTAGGCTTATAAAAATTCCAAATTGTATTTTAAATCATGAATAATGTAGTCTCTAAGTTGATTATTTATATCAGTGGCTCAGCTTTACCCTAAGAAATTTAAATTTCAGTAAATTTACCTCAAGATGATTTTAAGTAGCTAGGTATATACGTATCTCTTTCTTCGTTAAGTCATGATACCTGTATATAATGCTTATTATTTCCTTTAATTCTCTAATCTTTAGGTTGATATCACAGAGCACAAGTTTTTTAGTTTCCATTGATTGGAAAATTTTAGCTTTGAGATTAGGATACAGAGCAAGATACAAAGTGAAATTTAAGATTGAATCTTAAGATTAAATTAAATCTTTAGGATCTATGATGAATCTTGGATGATTAGTTAAAAGGAATGATTCTGAACTGCTATAATCATAATCTTCATTTTCGATCATAAACTAGTCTCTTTACTAAAATTGTTAAATCTCTTAGACTGAAGATTCTTCCTCCTTTTATGGATCAAGCTAATGTGTTAATTATGTATTGGAGGTTGTTGAAAATTAATTGTCGCTAACACTGCAAGCTGATTTTAAAGTTGTATCCATCATTAGATTTTATTAAATTCTATCGATTTTATTTTATGTTTGGATCTTGTTTAATTGCTCATCCCTCATTTTATTCATAAGTTATTTGAAAAACCCAGAGTCATTTATCTGTTTTATATTGAGACAAGTTTTCCTTGCTTGCATTTTTTTATTCAGCTTTCTCAATTAGTGAAAATTCTTAATCATATCACATTTCTGTTATTTTGAAACTATTTCATATAACTGCTGACTGCTCTTCTCTAAGATATATTGATTGATTTTTACCTTGAATTCTTAGATATTTGGTATGATAGTTGTTACTATAATTGGAATTATAAAGTAAAATAACTTACTGATAAGATTCGCTTTGTCATCTATTTTGAGGTCTCTCCTAGTTTAGATGGTATTTCTACATAGTGCACATTAAGAGGGTTTGAAATTTCTTGCATACCTTTCAGCGCACTCCTTACAAAACAAATGACCACAATCCCTAACTCTACAAGCTTAACTTATTATATCAAGACATATGGGACATTTAAACAGGTCAAGTATTTCATCAAGCATTTGGTCATCAATCAATTAATCTGAATCGTCAGAGGATAATTCAAGCATTCAAGGTCCAAGCATTATACAGTCTCTTATCATGACCTGATCCACTACCTAGTAGTACTACTCTTTCCATTTTTTCTTTGATATGTAATATGAGAATGATGATGGCTAAGTTTGTTGAGATAAGGACATTTAAAAGGAATTTATAAAACCTGAACAAGCAAAATAGTGGCATTTTAAGGGTGCAATTTTATGGTAATTAAATTATCATTAACATCATCTTTAATACTTTTATAAAAATCAAACTCATTCCAGAACTGAGTTGTGGTCATAAGGAGGCTATCATAGTACACTTGGCTTAGCATCGATTGTGACAGCATGAATCTTTGCAATTTCATCCTTTATTACCTCATTTATTGCTCTATGTCTTTGTAAAACTGACATTCCCTTAAATTTCTCTGATACTATTTGAATCTAATTGAGGATTAATGAAGATGGAATGATTAATTACATCTACTTTATGATCTTGGCCATCAGGGCTCTAGATATTTAATACTGTGGGCTGGAAACTTGCCATGAGTTTTTCTCTCATTTTAACTTAGATTGATCCATCAATAAATGGAGACTAGCAACTGGAAAGCATTCTTTAAGATGAAAGATAGATAGATTGGTTTTGGAATATGAGGTATTATTCCAGATATCTCTTAAACATGATCATTTTAAGCAAAAATTTATATAATTATGATTCAATTACAGTGTTCAATATATACCACAGGGGTTTTGGGGTTTTGGGGTTTTGGGGTTTTGGGG